TGTAATATCTCTCATGCTCTCGATGACTTTAATATAATACTTATATATCTCAACCGTACAATTGTGCATTACTGAATCCAGAAGTAGTATTACTGAACTCGTAGAGAGTATTAGCGGTGGGGGCTGGCCCCCCACCTCCCTCCGCGCCATTTTTAGTTTAATACTACAGTTTTGTTTCTGCAACCTCGGCTTCGTACTTAGACAGATGGCCCCCCTCGCCAATACTGGCCCCCATATGCGTGCAGGCTGAATCGCGTTGAAGTGCTGATACTTCAGTCTCAAACCCATCTCCCTTTAGTGCAGAGATGCGGGAAAGATGTCACTTCACTAGGTCTTCCCTATCCCCCGTAGCCAGTGATTCACCGTTTCCATTTTAATTCACCCTTTTACCTAATGTGAGAAGTCACCTTAACACTACACCGAATCCTCCCGGTCGTATTTCGAGACTGTTGGCACTCATGCATGTACTGTGCACAGGCCCGCTCACGGGCACGCTGGACCTCCATGGGAAGGAGGCAGAGATGCCTGCCTTTTTTAAGGAGTCCGGGAGTTGGGTGGGGGGTGTGGCGTGTGTGATGACCCACTTCTAAACACCATCAATGGCGACCTTATGGAGGGCAGTGTGGCTCCACTACACCTGTGGCCACTAGGAGTTGGCCCCACTCCACGACACCTGGTTTGACATTTCCCCCCAAACAGGATTTTGCCTAACGCTAGGATTTTTGCTCACAGCCTGGGTTTATTCCTGCGATCCATGGGAAAGACAACCTTCTAGCATGAAGTGTTAGGCATAGCGGTTACATGGTGGGCTGCTAACCGCAGGGACAGTGGTTTGAAACCACCAGCCGCTCCCAGGGAGAAAGATGAGACTTTCTATTCCCATAAAGAGTGACAATCTCGGAAGCCCACAGGAGGCAGGGGGTGAAGTGGTGTGAAGTGTGGCGGTGGGACCCCGGGCTAGCGGGGACAGGCTTACCTTTCTTTTTCGGCAAAGTCATTTTGTAACTTTTGCTCCTTTTCCAGAGCTATCGTCTCTGCTTGGTTCTTCAAAGTCTGTTCATATTCTCGGATTTTCTCTTTAAGTGCTTTTATCGTAACCTCTGCAGAAAGAAAGGCAGAAAGGGAGAGAGAGAAAAAAATTATATATATATATATTTATATATCCAGACTGCAGTCAGAGCAGGACAATCCCGTGTGGCTGGAGACATGAGGCTCTCGCAGCCTAGGAGGATTGGTATGTTTTAAACTTTAGCACTTCAAGTCTGACACAAAATCAATGGTTACGAGTCCCTTTGGAGACCTTTTACTCCCTAAATGTTAAATTGAACTTTAAACATTTGGACTGAGGTGGATCAATGGGGTTTGCTGGGAAGAAGAGCTATGGTTTCTCCAAGACAACTTAAAGGGGGGGGGGCGGGGGAAATCAATGTTCAGATATAATATCATCGTATTGATGAGTCTTAAATGAGCCCCATACTGAGGGAAGATTAATAAAGTTTTAGTGCGGGTTTAAGTACTTTCTTACACAAAAAGCAGTCCATAACGGAATGCGTGTTTGGGGCAGCAGACACCCCCCCACCCCCCCACCCAGTCAGGTGGAGGCTACAGCAGACAGAGCGTGCATCTCCTCTGTGCAGCCGGAAGGCTCCATTGGCAGCTTGGTGCTGAGGGCGCACTCTGGCCGGGCTGATGTGAACAGAAAGACCAGGCAAAGGAAGCCAGGTCCCCCGGGGGAGAATCGCACCTACCAGGATGCCCCCAAGGATGGGTGAGCACCATGCAGGTGGTGCACGAGAACCTGGGCCGGTGGGGGTGGGTGGGAGGGGCTCGGCAGCAGTCTGTTGCTCCTGGACAAGGCCTGTTAGGAGGCCCAGAAAGGCTAAGCAGATGCAGACAAGAAGAGAGGAGCACCCTACCCCGGAGACTTAGGGCTGGCCCTAGACCAGGATGGCTTCCAGCCTAGATCAGCGCCAGTGGTCTGCGCTGAGCCCAACCTCTAGGGGAACATACCTGTGCCCAGGTAGCCATCTCTGAGGAGGCAGAGTCTGAGCTTCCCCAAGTTCCCGGCAGCTGGCACAGGCGGGCGCTCAGGGCACGGCTGAGGCAGGAATGAACCCAGGAGCCGAGCCTGGCAGGTTAGGGTGAGGCCCAGACAGGGCTGGTGACAAGAAGGCTCCAGGCTCTAGTGACAACAGAGCTGGCCAGGTCTCCGCCTGTCAGAAACGGGACTGGCCCGTGCCTGCAGCTGTGGGAACTCTGAGACCCATCCCCTAGAACGGAAGGCTGGCGAGGAAATGAGACGATTTGCCCAAGGTCATACAGAGGCGGCAGAGGCAGTGCAGGGACGCAGACTGGGGCGCTTGGCCTCCGGGGTCTTTGTTCGTCTTTCATTTGAAGACGGAGGAGGCCCTTGGGGGGGGGGGGCGCGACGACACCCACAGCTCAGGCTGGCCCGGTGCCAACGTTGGAGCTCACACCCCCGCCCAGCACCGTCCTCCCAATGAAGCAAAATCACTCCACGGAAGACAAAGAGTGGGGCCGTCCAAAGCCGGAGCCCGCAGGCAGGGTCTGGGGCGAGCTCCCCCAGAGTGGAGTGTGCGGCTCCCCAGCCTCTGGTCAGAGCGTGGGGCCCTCTGTCAAGAAAGGACTCCCTGTGGGGAGGCAGCCCTCCTCTGGGACCCATCCCAGCTGAGAAAGTCCTGCGCGTGGCTGTCAAGGAGGGCTCAGTTGCCCCTGCCAGTCCCAAGGCACGCCCACTCGGCGTGAACCTGAAGGGTTGAGTGGGTCAGAGCCAACTCTGGCTCCCCAGCTCATATTCATCTGCCCCCCAACTCCAACAAAGAAGATCTGCTGGCCTGTAAAGAGTTCTGGGACCCTGAGGAAGGGGGTCCTAGGGTGCTGCCCCACAGCTCAGAGACCCCGAGGAAGGGTCTCTGTAGCCTGAGTCCCAGGACACACTGCAACCTCTTCCTGGACCCTTTCCATGGACAAGGTCTCCTCCTGCCAAGTCTGTCCCCAGTGTCCTCTAAGCCCAGAGGGGTTTTTCAAGACCTTCACTGGCTACTTAGAGATCCCCAAGAGGCAGATGGTATAAAAGGCCACTTGGAAGGAAGGGGCAGTTGGCCAAGTGGCCTGCCTCCCTTGGCGTCTCCTTCCCTCCCCCGCCCCCCCCATCCTCTGCACACACAAGCAGGCCAGGCTTGTCCTGCGAGCTGCTGGAGAGGCTCAGGCTGCTGGCATGTCGGGGGAGTGGGGGGTGGTGAATGTCAGAGGGATTTCTTTTCCCTGCCCTGCCGGGAAGAGCCAGGCGCCCTCCGCCCTGACGGCCGCGCTCTCATTAGAAGTCAGTAACGCAGAGGCGGCTCTGACAAGGAAATTGCAGTGCGTAAGCCTGAGACGCGTCCTGGGGCCCTGGCATAGGGGCAGTGGTGATTAAGTGGCTTACTGTACGTGACCCTCTGATCCTGAGCTGGCTGGCTGACAGGTGTTGCCCCGAGGCAGCGCACCGGGCCCTGAAAGGCACAGCTGAGCATGTGATGACACAGGAAGTGTCTGACAAGGATCCCATCGTCCTGTCGTAAAACCCAACCTGGTGGAGTCGCTGGGAGGGGGGAAGGGCGGGACATTATTACCACCTCGCTTTAACGACCCAGAGGATTCCTGCCCCACCCTGCCTGGATGACGTCTGCTACCATTAGAGCCAGTCCCAACAGTGCGGGACAGGCAATTAAAAGAGAGGAAAGAAAAGCCAAGCCAAGTCAAGCCAAGCACGGTCTCCCACACACCTTGGTTCTTCACTTCCGCAAACTCTTTGTTGTACTCCTCCAGAGTCTCCCTGAGCTTCAGGTTCTCCGTCTCAATGTCATGCAGGCGCTGCACCTTGAGCTGGAGCTGCTGCCCGAGGTCCAGAGCCGGCACGGGGTCTGCGAGACACAAGACGACGCGTCACCCGCAAACCAGGCAAACAGGCCACCTTCTCCAGGGTGCGCGGCTGGCCTCGTTTCCGGAGGCACCCTGGAAGTCAGCCGCCCCCTTCCCTGGCAGACCAGCCTCCGGAGGCCCCTTTGTGGCGGCTCTGTCCCGGATGTGAGCATCCAGACAGGATGGGGAAGGCTGTGGGAAGCCACGGGCTTAGGGGGAAACTCTTTAGTGGCATCTCATTCTTTGATTAGGTACAAGGAGGGCCGCATCTGGTGGAGGGGATGGAAGGCGCCCCGGGCTCAGCACCCTTAGCGCTGCCCCTGGAGGACAAGGTGGCAGGGAGACGGTGCCCGGAGCTTAAGGCGCCCTGTGGATTTCCCCCAGGTGGAACTCTGAGAGTATCTCGTCTCACAGGTCATGAACCACTCCCAGGGTCTTTGGAAAGAAAGTCAAGGGCCAGGTGTTGTTTTCATGGGAGGAGAGTAAAAGCTTGGAGAAGCTGCGTAACTTTCTCAGTATCACCAGGCCAGCTAGCAGCCAGAGTGAGTGTCAATCCTGAGTCTGTCAGCTCCAGACGGCCAGTCTTCCTACCACAGAAGGCTACCTGGTGGGCTGGGGGAGACCGACCCGTGGGCTGTTAAGAGGCTGCCCCTCTTTCGGAACACGAACCCTTTTCGCCACCAGCCTCCGTTAATGACGAGGGACGCACAGAAGACCAGTCTGGGGGAGGTCTGTGGGGCTGGCATTTATTTAACTGGAAGCTCAGTGGGTGGTGCTGCAGCTGCTGCACACGTGATTCTAACACAGTGGGTGGACCAATGACCAGGGCAGCATCTGGGCCAGTTACGTGAAGTCAGTAGGCCAAGTCAGGAGGTTTCTGATGGAGCGGTGGTTGTGCGTTGGGCTGGGAACATCCAGGTCTGATGTTGGGACCCACCAGCTGTCCCGTGGGAGAAAGATGAGGCTTTTTACTCCAGGAAGAGTTAGTCTCAGAATCTCAAATATCGAGTTCTACCTGTCCTACATGGTTGCTGCTGTAAATGGAGCTGACCCAATGGCGGGGAGTGGGTGCTGGGCTGCCTGCTCCCATCAAGAGTCAGTCTCGGAAACCCCAGGGGGCCGCACTGCTGTGGCCCCTGGGGAACAGACTCGCTGGCAGTGGCTTTGTGGCCAACACAATGGGATAGCCACCATGGGACTCATTACAGAAAAGCAGGCTTTCGCCGGCACATGGAATGTCCTATACAGACAGTCCCTGGGATATGAACGCCTGATGTTCACCCCAGAGCTGTGAACTGACTCCCTTAAAGCCTAGCGTCTTGAAATTCCGAGGCACCCGCGCAATGGTTCATAATCACAAATGGATTCTACTGCCCCTAAAGAAAGGCACATCAGAGCATTATGGTTACGACAATATTACTGTGCTGACGAGGGCTTAGTGTATATGGACACGTTTCTTTAACGCTTTCTATGCACAGAGACGGGCAGTATATACAGTATTACGTACTAGAAGAAATATTTAACTTAACATCTAGTTGCTCCAACTTAGGAGCAAATGCAATTGAAAGGAGGCTTCAGGACGGAGCGCCTTTAGAAGTAACCTGGGGGCTGCCGGCACTTCCCAAACCAAACACGCTGCATCAAGTCCATCCCGACTCATAGTGTGACCCTACAGGACAGGGTGGAACCGCCCCTGCGGGTTTCCGAGACCGTAACAACGGGAGTAGAAAGCCTCATCTTGCTCCCTCGGGGCAGCTGGTGGTTTCAAACTGCTGACCTTGTGGTTGGCAGCCCAACACGTCAGCTACTACACCACCAAGGTTTCTCTTAGCGGCACAAATACCTTTGCCTTCACCACGAATTCTGCACAAAATAAAGACGTGAAATTTTCTTGCAAGGGATTGATTCTTCAGTCCTGCCCACTCCCCACCTCCCTTATACCCCAAAGTCATTATCATGCCCTTACTGGCCATTTCCTTTTGGAATTCTCAGGTTCCACTGGGGTCGAAGAATACTTAAGTCCGTGAGGCTTGGAAAAGATTACTGCACATATTTCTGCCCTGGGCGCCAGCGTCACTTGTGGAATGGCTGCAAAGATTTAGTCTCTCCTGGTGGAATGCTAAACACACTGGCCAAGGACGGAGGATCAACAAGGATATATTTCCAAGCTCTCGCTTGCTTTTCAAATAGCGGAGCCGTCCATTTGTCAGACCACCCTTGGTTCCTGGAGCGTAGGGCTGGGTCCCAGCAGGCCTGCACTTGGCGCTAACCACCAGCCAGGCGCTCCAGAATGCCGATGTCCTGTCAGAGTTTACCAAAGGCAGCCCTGGGCTGCGCCGAGCACAAGGTCAGCACCCACGCTGCCCACCATGCAAGATATCCCTGGCAGCTGGGCACTTGTCATCCGGTGGGTCTACGGCTTAGGACAACCTTGCTTTCTGGTTGGTGGCTTTTCATGCTTAGCTGAGCCAGGGTTAAAAGGAACTTAGCTCTGAGCTCACTGCCATTGAGTTGAGTCCGACTCATAATGACCCTGTAGGACAAGGTAGAACCGGTCCTGTGGGTTTCTGAGACTGTAACTCTTTTACGAGAGGAGAAAGCCTCTTTCTCCCCATGAGCAGCTGGTGGCTTCAAACTGCTGACCTTTCGATTAGTAGCCTAACTCGTAACCCATTAGACCACCAGGCTCCTATGGTCCTTGGAGGGGAGGAGGAGTGAGGACACAAAATAATGTGTTCCTCAGGACGTTCTGGGCATGGTGTGTGTGCGTTTCTCAGTTTCGCAAGTTCAGTATTTTCCCCAGGGTCTTTTCTGCTTCCTGTCCTGCAAATGGCCTGACGGACAGAGCGGTCCAGCACGGAGCCCCTTCCTGGGACTTGATGCAGAGGTGGGTGAAGGAGAGGCACCGGTAAGAACTGTTGCCCCGTACATCCCTCTCTACTAACCGCTGTTCACGGAGGTTGGCCAACACAGTAGCCAGCATTAAGCTAGTACACTGCCCCCCAGCCCTCCACAGACAACTTTTCCAGTCTGTTCCTCTTTAGAAAACTAGCTTCCAATCAGCAAGGAACTCGGTGAACAGTATGTGTATACTAAATGATGTGCACACGATCGAGTGAATAGCGACTTAGACCTTCAGACACATTTCCAATCCTCACAAAGCATTATATTGTAAATGAAAATTCTGGCAATCTCATAATTATTCATTATGGCATTTATATTTAATTTAACATGATTAAAGGTTAATGCCTAAGTAGCAAAACTGGTCGCAGAATAAAGAACGAACTGAATGTTCAAACAACTCTCTGCATTAAACTTCAAACTTTACTACAGTACAGCTGAATGACTAAACGCCTACAGCATTTGAATATTGTTTTGGGATATGTAAAAGGCATTGCTAAAGTACCTCTTAGGCTTAATTTTTATTACTTGTATTAAAGGAACAGCTAATTACCACATGACAATATAATGACTCTAGCATGTTTGGGCTAGCTACCAAAACAATGAATTTTGGTATGCCAAACCCCAACCTGCATGTTAATCTAGGGAAATCATAGCTTTTTTGTCTCGTTAATGATTTCCAATGCCATTTAAACCCCACACAAGTATTGTTAGGTTTTATTCTGAACGTCACAAGCCTCGGATCTCAGCAGCTCAATTAGGGACTTGTCTGAGGGAGGCAGGCGGGCACGCCCGGACGTAAAACAGGAACACGCAAAATCCTGTAACCCCCGTCTTCCCAGCCTTCTTGGATCCAGCAAGCTTTACTGCCAGATTCACCCACCCAGCTGGCGAGCTTGCAAAGTGCTTTACAGTCCTCGGAGGGTTAATGCCTATAAACTCTCTTTGAGGTTCATATAGCTCATTGTGCAGCCCAGGACTCAAAGAACGTAATTATCAACAAATAACAACAAGACTGCCACCTCCATTTATCTGGGACCTCTTCCTAAATGCCCGGAACATTATCTCA